AGGGTGCTCAACCGACTCCAACCCAAAATGATGTCTGTCGCTTTTCTGACCTGCATGATCCCTTGAAGCTCTTGCTTGGCTCTCCTCTCTCTATTGATTATTTGCTTATCGCTCGGAGTGGGGCTCAGTTAGAGCATTTTCGGCGATTTCGTGTGCTTCGATAAGTTCAGCCAGGTCAGTTCATGTGCAAGTCAACTAGCACGTACACATCTGTTTTTCAATCCCGCTACCCAGGAACTCTTCGGCTCATCGTCAAGTCCCCCTTGAAGTATACCATAGACTATTTCAGCCCACAAAAGTCCCCAGGATACGGTAAAGACGACTACAAAATGAAAAATGAAAATGAAATAATAACGAGAGTTGAACGAACCGTCATAGGAAGATGATGCGTAGGGAAAACAATGAAATCGAATGGATGCTCATCTAACAATGCTAGAAGTTTCGAGTTTATGGCCAACATCTTCGACAGGGTAACTCGTCCTTCTTCAAACACCCGTGATTCCTCTTCAATGGCTACGTTACGTAGTGAAAATGCGTCCAGCATTTTCCCTGAAATGTCCGCTGTTCGCTAGGAGATAAGGGAACGCACAACATGAAAGTGACGAAAAAAGATCAAACATGTCTCATGACATGTTATGAACAAGGTATGACATTAAAATATGACGTCAATGGCACGTCACCTATCGCTTAACAGGCAGCGCACTTCACCGTGTAATTGTGGTACATCAGCGCCCATACGGAAGCGTTCTATTCAGGAGAGGAGGGGGGGGGCACTCCGTTTGTTTGTTGGTTGTAAAAGTGTAAAAGAAGCTCGAGCTATCGCTCAATTCTATCAGAGTTTACAGGTCTCCGCAGCAAGCGCCGTCAAAGCCCGTAGAAAAAAAAGAAAGCCCCCCCCCCCCAGCCTAATCGCGCCTTCCACTGACACACTGACATTCGGTTGAATTAAACTTTTCTTATGTAACAGTAGAAAATTTCAAGTTGGTATAGAAAGAGAAGGAAAAATCAGTATGTATATAGTGTAAACACACTTGTTCCCCTCTTGTCCGTGAACGGAAATTTGCAAGCTTCGATGATTACTTCTGTGAGAAATTGAGCTATTTGTTGCCGCGATTCTGTATGAAGCTCCTCGTATGGAATCTGAAATTTTGCAAAATAAACGTGGTAGGAAAACAGGTCATGCAGAAGGTCTGTGACAAGACAATCGCAATTCGCCGCACTGTTGGCCGCCGCGTGCGACGTCGCACCTGCTAATGACGATGTTTCTATGACGCAGATGGAAACAATAAACGATGTATTACCATAAATGACTTCAATGTCAAAAGTTATAGGTAGGTGCTCATGCAAACTGAGAAAACGCCATGCGTAGCTGAGCGGCAGATTACGATTGTCTTGACCGTCCTTCTACCTAGAGGGAGGAGGGCAAGCGGCAGGGCGACTGAATCTGTTCGTCTACAAGGTTCTTTGGGGTATTGACCCCCTCCTTCTGCAAGGCTCTGTCATGAAAAGAGCGCAGACGACTAGAGTCGAGCTATTGTTGCCGCGTGCTTGCGGCCCTCTT